TCCAAGTATGGGGAGGTGTACAACTGTCCATGAATGTGTTTTGAGGTTCGTAAGTGACAACCATAGTTAAGCAACCGCAGCACTTGTAGCCACTTCATTTAAAAGGAAGTTTAAGGATTCTCGGACAATATACACACCAAGTGACATTATGAGAGATGTGAAACACAACTTTGGTTTAAGAATCCATTATTTGAAAGCTTGGAAAACAAGGGAGTTAGCTCTATTGTCCATTAGAGGATCAGCGGAGGAGGCATATTATATTCTTCCAACTTATTGCTATGAATTGGAGCGTATGAATCCCGGCACAAAAACACACATCCAAACTGATGAGAACAATCACTTTGTGTATTTATTTATGGCGGTTGGTGCATGTATTAGAGGGTTTTGTTCTTCCATGCGCCCAATGATAGCTGTGGATGCCACTCATTTAAAATCCAAGTACAAGGGTGTTATGTTTGTAGCAAATGCATTCGATGGTAATCGAAATATATATCCTCTTGCTTTTGGGATCGGGGATTTGGAGACGGATGCATCATGGCATTGGTTTTTCACTAAACTTCATGAAGCCATTGGTGAGTGTCCCAATCTTGTTATTATTTCTGATCGCAATGTTAGCATAGAGAATGTGTGGAACAAAGTTTTTCCAACTGCGCAACATGGCATATGCTTTTATCATATGAAGGGGAACATGAAACGCACTTGCAAGTTGAAAAAGCATGATCCAATACTTATGCACTTTGAGCAGGCTGCGAAATCTTATTCCATTACTGAATTTGATTGTCATTTTCGCAAGATCAAGCGAAAGGAACATGTTGCAAGGACGCTGCAAGGAACATGTTGCGGAGTCAATCTACTCAATCCTTAGGTTTGCAAGGACGCTGCGAGTGGTTCATTTGATAGGGAAAATTATTAATCTCCTTGTGAAATGGTTCACCGAACGTCGTGAGTTGGCTTTGAATTGCACAACAACATTGTGCCCCAATTTTGGAGAGAAGAAGTTGAGGAACAGGTTGGAGGATGTTGCAAGGATGAATGTGGTTAAAGTAAATAATGCACAGTTTAATGTTTTGGACGGTGATATGGACGGCCTCGTAGATTTGACGAACAACAGTTGCAGTTGTAGAAAGTTTCAGCTTGAGCAGTTACCTTGCAAGCATGTAGTTGCAGTTTGCTGCTTCTTGAAAGTAAATGTATACTCAAAGGCTTCTCGGTATTACACTCGGAAAACCTGGATGGATGCTTATTCGGATAGCATCTACCCGATACAGCCTCACGGAATGTGGGATATTCTTGAAGATATTCGAAGTCGAGTTGTGCTGCCTCCCATTGCAAGGGTCATGCCAGGCAGACGAAAGAAGATAAGAATTCCCTCGCAAGGAGAGGGCACCATTAGAAGAAAGTGCTCAAGGTATGGTTCCGCAGGCCACAATAAAAGCACCTGTAAAAACAATATTCCATTGCGCAATGTATCTTAGACAATATGATTTATGTTGCTTTGGTAGGTCATGTAAACTTTACTTTTATTTATGGTGGGTTTCGTGTTATGTTGAATGGGAATTCTTTGAAATTTGCATAATTTGGGTTGTATTGCTACAACATGTTGTATTGCTTCCAGATTGTTATTATATTGTACTTTTATTGTACTGGTATTGCTTCTAGATTGCTATTACTATTTGAGTGCGAAATTAAAGGGCCTGGAATGTAATTCCAAATGGATCCAAAACATTAAAATTCTTAGAATTCCTTTATTACACAGTTACCGTGATACTCCGACTATACCTTCTTTTGTGATTTCAAATTCGGCCGATGCATAGGCCAGATGTGGGGCAAATACAAGGTGAAATGTCCTATGTGTTTGACTACATATAGTTGTTGAAGGAGCATTACGAATGTTAACCCCAATAGATTGCTCATGTCTTGCCAAGAACACTCTTGAATTTATGCAATGTGCCCAAGCCAGTCCCAAAGCTGGACTCACCCATCTACCTAATGTGTCCAGGGACTCCAAGTTTCCCAACCTCACCCCATTCACTCCATCACGTGGCCCAATAAAATCCACCACTTGGTTGGTGACAACCACCGCCAACTTAAACTTATTTGCTAAACCCTTCAATGTCCCAGATATGTTGAAGAACATTTCAGACCGCCGTTTCAAATCTGCCGGGGTTGTTTGATACTGTGATCGGAACAATGCAGCAATGGAGTCAATGACAATGAGTTTCACTGGTAGGCGGGTGTGATCAATCGCAATAAATGCTTCTAGGTCTCCAAGGACATGGATGAGTTGTTCAGCATCATGAACACCACGAACATATATGTCTTCCAATGGCTCCAACCTTATTAAGTTGGGGTACGATGCATGATAAAGGTTGCCTAGTTGTTGCAATCGACGAAATGAGAAGCTGAATTCTGTGAATATGTAGACGGAGGAGTCCCCTAGTCCGCCATGTGAGGGTGGGAGCTGAGCTCGTACCGTAAGTTGGAGACAAAGCTGCATCTTCTCGGAACCACTCTCTCCTACCAATTCTGTTATGGAGTTGCAGGGTATCCCACCCCCCAAGCAGTCATCTAGTATTGGGCATCTAATGGATAATTTAGGGGTTGAAAGAGGAAGGAGCATGAGGTTTTGGGGTGTCATGTTTCTGTATTTTGGGGGGGGATGTGATGGTGCTACAAGGCATGCATTATATATATAGAGTTCATTTTGAAGGTCTGTAATGTAGGCCATATGTCTTTTAAGGGATGTATAATTCATCCTTTTTCCAGGTTGTAATTATTTTTTATTTTTTATTTTTTGTATTTTTTTGGACTAAATAATTTTAAAAACATTCTGATGCAGTACGTACTGTAATAGGATCATATTGTAACCCTATCACCACTCTATTGCACTCTTATTGACATAATATTGCCATTATACGCATGTTTATTGCATAGTTATTGCTACTATATCGCCACTCAACTGGACACTGATAAACTGTATACGCACAAATACAAAAAG